TCTGTATAAGCCTATTCCATTGCTTTACTTCTGCCTCCTCGTCAGCTTCCTCCGGTCCTCAGATTATGGCCCCAGCTTCTGAGGCTTTAGGGCCTTTTACTCAGCTCCTCCTAGCTAAGTGAACTAATCTTTCAGTGTCCCGATTTCATAATCCTAGAAGAGGAGTCTGACTGGCCCAACTCATCTTTTCTTGCCAGATCACACAGCACCCTACAGTTAGTACCTCTTTTTATTTTTATTTTTTGAGTTGGAGTCTCACTCTGTCACCCAGCCTGGAGTGCAGTGGCCACTCCCGGCCACCGCAGCCTCGACCTGCTGGGCTCTGGTGATCCTTCCACCTCAGCCTTCCAAGTAGCCGGAATTACAGGCATGTGCTACCATGCCCAGCTGATTTTTTGATTTATTATAGAGATGAGGTCTCGCCTGCCCAGGTGGGTCTTGAACCTGTGGGCTCAGGCAATCCACTCACCTCAGCCTTCCAAAGGCGCGGGATTACAGGCTGAGCCACCGAGCCCAGCTCAGTTAGTACCTCTTAAGTCACTCTAGTTATAGCAAGCAGATATGTGACCCACAGGGGCTGTGGTAGACTATGACATTGTTGGCACACAATGACCATTACCTCCCCAAATTCATGGTTTTGTAGTCCCTTTCTGGGCTGCCATGTTGATTTGGCCATTGAGACATTAGCAAGCTTGGTGCTTATTAAGTACTTATATTTTGAGGCACTGTACTCTTGAAAGCCAGCCACAGTGCTTTAAAGACACTTGGTTTAGATTCTAATGATGATTATATGAAATGATGAGAAATCATGTGGAGAGAAACTGTGGAGGATCAGAGACTATTGTAAGATGTTCCAGGGCCATCTGAGCTCCCAACTGAATGCCACTGATAAGTGACCTCAGTCACACCACATGGAGAAGAGGTCTCCAGGGAAGCCTAGTCAAGCCATGAAATCATGAGAAATAATGAATTTGTTGTTTTAAGCTTCTATGTTTTGGTATGGTTTGTTATATAAATAAATAACTGAAACAGAACTTAGTATCAGAAGTGGGGTGCTCACATAACAAAAGCCTAAAATATGCAACGTTGGCTTTAGGACTGATTGGTAGGCAGAGGTTAAAAGGATAGGGAAGAGACTGTTCATGAAGGCAGGAAGAGCAGTGAGGAACTTGCTATTGGAACCTGGAGAAAGGGGAATCCATGTTATGTATTGGCTATCACCTGTGGTAACTTAGAAGCCAGAAAAGATATCTAACAAAGTTGTGAATTTAGCTAAAGATATTTTCAGGCAGCATGCTAAAATGCCAATTGGCTTATAGGAGCTGCCTATGATAAGGCATTTCAGGAGAGAGATGAACTAAAAAAGGAATGGTTCAATTTTCAAGGAGAATTTGGAGCAAATATTTCTAAGAAGACTTGCTAGATTAAAAAAATAAAACCTTTTTCATCCTCCCCTCTCTGTCTCACAAAAGGCTCCCAAAGTAAGAAATTACCTCAGGGCAAAAATAAAATCCAGGGCACTGCCAGTAAAACAACCTCAGAGTGAAGCTCAAAACAAATAAAGGGTCAGCCATAAAGCCCTTTGTTAGCTGGGCCTGGTGGTTTGTCCTGGTAGTTCCAGTTACTCAGGAGGCTGAGGTGGGAGGACTGCTTGAAGCCAGGAGTTTTATTGTTGTTGTTGTTGTTGTTTTGAGTCGGAGTCTCACTCTTTCCCAGGCTGAAGTGCAATGGCATGATCACAGTTCACCACAGCCTTAACCTCCTGGGCTCAAGTGATCCTACCACGTCGGCCTCCTGAGTAGCAGGGACTACAGACACATGCCACCATGTCTGGCTAATTTTTTAATTTTTTGTAGAGACGAGGTCTCACTATGTTGCCCTGGCTGGTCTCGAACTCCTGGACTCAAGCTATCCTCCCAAAGTGCTGGGATTATAGGCATGAGCCGCTGTACCTGGCCCAGGAGTTTAAGGCTGTAGTGCACTATGATCATGCTTGTGATTAGCCACCCACTCCAGCCTGAGCAACATAGAGAGATACTCTCTAAAAACAAACAAATAAACAAAAAGCCCTTTGTTAAGATTCAACATTCAGCCAGCTCGGTGGCTCAGCCTGTAATCCTGCGCCTTTGGGAGGCTGAGGTGAGTGGGATTGCCTGAGCCCACGGGTTCGAGACCCGCCTGGGCAGGCGATACCTCATCTCTACAATAAATCAAAAAATTAGCCGGGCGTGGTAAGCGCATGCCTGTAGTTCCAGCTACTTGGAAGGTTGAGGCGGAAGGATCGCTGGAGCCCAACAGGTCGAGGCTGTGGTGGCCGGGAGCGGCCACTGCACTCCAGGCTGGGGGATAGAGTGAGATTCCAACTCAAAAAAAAAAAAAGATTCAACATTTTGTTCAGATCTAAAATTTAAGGTGATGTTCTGAAAATTCTCTCAACTAGAGAGGGGGTCTAAAAATCTTTTTTTTTTTTTTTTTTTGAGTTGGAGTCTTGCTCTGTTGCCCAGGCTAGAGTGCAATGGCACACTCATGGCCACTGCAGCCTCCACCTGCTGGGCTCAGGTGATCCTTCCACCTCAGTCTTCCAAATAGCTGGAACTACCAGATGTGTGCCACCATGCCCAGCTAATTTTTTGATTTATTGTAGAGATGAAGTCTTGCCAAGTTGCCCAGGCTGGTCTCAAACCTGTGGGCTCAGGCAATCCTCTTTCCTCTGCCTCTCAACGTACTGGATTACAGGCATGAGCCACCGCGACTGGCCAGGGGTTCCTGAGGATTTATCCTACAACACTGACTTGTAGTCTAATTAGCCGGGCATAGTGGTGCATGCCTGTGATTCTAGCTACTTGGAAGGCTAAGGTGGAAGGATCACCTGAGCCTAGCAGGTCGAGGCTGTGGTGGCCGTTGAGTGTGCTACTGCACTCCAGCCTGGGTGATAGAATGACACTCCAACTCACAAAACAAAACAAAAATCCTAGCCCCAAACTCCTTGGAGAGACAGTTTTGAGGTTACCTCCCATCTCCTTATTCAGTGGTCCTACAACTCAGTGGTCTTTCTCTACTGCAACCCAGTGTCTTGGTGTATTGATTTGCCCTGTGCATTGGGCAATGGATAGTGCACTGGTAAAGATTTAACAACTGAGAAAACATTAAAAAGCCCTGATTTGTAGTGTTTGCCAATTTCTGCAGTATAAATTCTCCCACCGTTGCTGATTTCAAGTTGCTGGTGTGGCATTTCTGAATGTGGAAGTTGGGAGACAGTCACCACCAGCTGTCATGAGTCAGTATGAGTCAGTTCTAGGACAAAACTGAAGGCCACTGCACCTGAAACAACGTACCAGGGGAGGCTCATCCACATTTGCACTGGATTCACATGATGAGATGCTGGATCCGGGCTGGATCCTGATGTCATAATGGGATGAAAGCTTGAGGGAGTGGGTGGGAGAGGGTGATTGCATTTTGCTTGTGGGAGAGACATGAATAATTAGGGGCCAGAGGGCAGGCAATAGAAGATTTTTATACTGGTAGCCCTGAATGAACAATAGCTCCTGGATGTCATGTCTCTATGTAGTTCCCTCCCAAACTGATTCTGGACTTGGCCACAGTGACTTGCTTTGTCAATGGGACATTAGCAAGTGGGGTATACGAAGAAGCTCAACAGTCATTTACACATTGAAATTGTCATCTTAGAATCCAGTCATCAGTCTTTTCTTTTTCTTTTTTTTAGTCAGAGTCTCACTCTATTGCCCAGGATAGAGTACAGTCTCACACTCACGACTACTGCAGCCTCGACCTGCTGGGCTCAGGCAGTCCTTCCACCTCAGCCTTCCAAGTAGCTGGAACCACAGACGCGTGCCACCACACTAATTTTTTGATATAGTGTAGAGACAAGATCTTACCAAGTTGCCCAGGCTGGTCTTGAACCTCTGGGCTCAGGCAATCCTCTTGCTTCCACCTCCCAAAGTGCTGGGATTACAGGCATGAGCCACCACACCCGGCCTTAGCCATTTTTCTTTATTTTATTTTTCTAGAGACAGGATCTCATTCTGTTGCCCAGGCTAGAGTGCATAGCTCACCGCAACCTTGTCTCTTGGGTTCCAGGGATCTTTCGGCCTCAGCCTCCTGAGTAGCTGGGACTACAGGCACCTCTTTCAGTCCCTTTACCCCTTTTTGAGTTCCACTGGAACCCTGTCTTGATATGGGAACCTGAGTCATGTGGGAACCTGATGTATGGAGAAGTCATGCAGTCCTGGTGTTTCACTTTTTCTTCCTTTACTCAAATGAGACATCTGGAGGAGAGCATAAGAGAGGGGTTGGATCCTGGGCCAGAGAAAGGACAGAATCCCTAGCTCTCAGCCCCTGGGTGCAGGCCCAGGAAGTGGATGGGCTCACACCACAGCCTGTGAAAGTCTGTGGGGCCCGCAGAGAGAGCAACCAGAGATGAGGGCAGGCGGTCTCAAAAGAAGTGAAATGGCCGGGCTCGGTGGCTCAGCCTGTAATCCCATGCCTTTGGGAGGCTGAGGTGAGTGGATTGCCTGAGCCCACGGGTTCGTGATCCGCATGGGCGGCGAGACCTCATCTCTACGATAAATAAAAAAAAAAAATCAACCGGGCGTGGTAGCGCACACCTGTAATTCCGGCTACTCGGAAGGCTGAGGCGGAAGGATCACCGGAGCCAGCAGGTTGAGCCTGCAGTGGCCAGGAGCGGCCACTGTATTCCAGTCTGGGCGACAGAGTGAGACTCCAACTCAAAAAAAGAAAAAAAAAAAAAAAAGAAGTGAAATGTACTAACTTTCCAGCTTCCTATTGGTCAGGTCTGAGCTACCAGGGAGAGCTACGAAGTAGGAGGGTGTTGAGGGGAAGCCTGGGATTAGAAGATTATAGGCCATGGGAGGTAGGGGTTGGATGGTTTGGGGGAGGAAGTCAGAGGTGACATGAGTGAGGAAACGTTTCTTTCTTTGAAATATCAAGTTCTGGAGAAGAGCTACAGATCAGGAACCCACCTGTCTTGGCAAAGCTGATGATCTCACATTCCTGTCCCCTGTCGTCCTCTGGAAGTGCCCCCTGCAGGGACCCGTGGAGGCGCTGCAGTGCAGTCCTCAGGGCAGCTCTGGACACGGGCCGGCTCAGTGTTGGGCGCTGGCTGAGGCGCAGCTTGTCCAAAATGCTTCTTTTGGCCAGGTCAAGAAGCAGCTCCCGCTGGCTCTCCAGGTCCAAGGTGGGCCCCCCACATGCCGGACAGTGGCCATCAGTTTTGAGAGTGACTGGAGCCAGAAATAGAAAGACCAGGAGCAGTGAGGAGGTCATTGCTGGGGAGGCCCTCCTCGAGTGACACAAACCCAGGGCTCAGGGTCTCAACAGCTGTGGTCTCAACTCTGTCCTGGCTGGTAGGGGCCCTGGAAGAAGTGTGTGTCCAGCTGGCATGACTCCTGTTGCAGGGGAGAAAGCAGTGGCCAAACACCTGACTTGAAGAATGAAGCCAGTTACAGGTAGAACTTGGCAGTATCTGCGGACGCCCAGTCAGTGAAAGTGCAAAGTGGGGGATGTGAAGGGAGGTTGGTTTGTTTGGGGAAAGTCATGTCCCTGGGCCAATGTTGGGAGACAGCTGTTACCCATGTGAGTTCCAGGTCTGGGGACAAAGGTGAGAGATAAAATTCCTCCTCAGATCACTGGCCTAGTGGGGAATCCTGGGGGTGGGGGGAGGACAAATCAGAGGTTTTTTTTTTTTTCTTCTAATTTTTTTGAGACAAGGTCTCACTCTGCCCAGGCTGCAGTGCAGTGTACGGTCATAACTCTCTGCAGCCTCGACCTCCTTCCTGACTCAAGCGATCCTTCCACCTCAGCCTCCCGAGTAGCTGGAACTACAGATATATGCCACCATGCCCAGCTAAGATTTTATTTTATTTATTTTATTTAAAAAAATTTTTTTTTTTAGTTGAAGTCTCACTCTGTTGCCCAGACTGGAGTGTAGTGGCCGCTCCCAGCCACCGCAGCCTCGACCTGCTGGGCTCCGGCGATCCTTCCGCCTCAGCCTTCCAAGTAGCCGGAATTACAGGCATGCGCTACCACGCTTGGCTGATTTATTTATTTTTTCTGATTTATTGTAGAGATGAGGTCTCTCTGCCCAGGCGGGTCTTGAACCCGCGGGCTCAGGCAGTCCACTCTCCTCAGCCTCCCAAAGGCATGGGATTACAGGCTGAGCCACCGAGCCTGGCTTCAGCTAAGATTTTAATTTTTTTGTAGAGACAAGGTCTTGCTATGTTGCTCAGGTTGATCTTGAACTCTTGGCCTCCTGCCCAACCTCCCAAAATGCTGGGATTACAGGCATGAGCCACCATGCCCAGCCTAGATCAGAGGTTTTAAGGTAGAGTATTAAAGGAAAACTCTCAAACAAGGGGCCACTGGCAGGGCACTTTATCTCACTGTCAAGCAAGTACAGTACAATAACTGAGAGTTGCAGTCTCTGTGCCTAGTGTTTCTCAAAACCCACTTCTATCCTCCATCCTCCTCAATCCAGTCTTTCTTGTTATCCCAGTTGGGTTTTGCCAAGGGTGGCGGAACAGGGCTCAAAACCATGAAGACTAAAGGTTAAGGAATGGGAGGCGAAGAGTTCTGGCCAGGTCCTACACATCCTCAGAGGGAAGTCTAAATGTGGAGAAGGGGCTTGAGATCTTGGTTTGCTCACCCTTTGTGTTTTTTTTCTGCCTAGGAAAAGAAGTTTTGAGATCTCTCAGAATTCCTAGCTTTCCCCTCAAAGGTCCTGAGTAGAGAATCTCCAGGGAAAAGCCTGTTTCCACAGCAGGGGTGAAGGGTGGGGTGAGGAGTCTAGTTTTTTGTTTTTTTTTTTTTTGAGTTGGAGTCTCACTCCATTGCCAAGGCTGGAGTGCCATGGCACACTCATGGCCACTCCAGCGTCAACCTGCTGGGCTCCAGTGAGCCTTCCAACTCAGCCTCCTAAGTAGCTGGAACTACAGGCCTGTGCTACCATGCCTGGGTAATTTTTTGATTTTTATTGTAGAGGTGAGATCTCGCCAAGTTGCCCAGGCTGTTCTTGAACCCCGGGCTCAGGCAATCTGCTCACCTCAGCCTCCCAAAGTGTTGGGATTACAGACTTGAGCTACTGCGCCCAGCCCTGACTACCCCTTTTAAGCTATATGTTCATCTCATGAACTGTTTGCTATTGCCACATGCAACCATAAATTAACCTAATAATGCCCTACCGGACACTATAACCCACACTCTATAGCTTGACAATGTAAGGCTGCCAAGCATGGTGGCTCATGCCTGTAATCCCAGCACTTTGTGAGGTGGTGGTGGTGAGAGGATTGCCTGAGCCCAGGGGTTTGAGATTAGCCTGGACAATATAGCAAGACCTTGTCTTGACAACAAATAAAAAAATTAGTTGGACATGGTGGTGCATACCTGTAGTCCCAGATACTTGGAAGCCTGAGGCAGAAGGATCGCCTGAACCCAGCAAGTCGAGCCTGTGGTAGCTGAGATCATGCCACTGCACTCCAGCCTGGGCATCCGAGTGGGACTCCTAAAAAAAAAAAAAAGGTTGGGCTCAGTGGCTCAGCCTGCAATCCCAGCACTTTGGGAGGCTGAGGTGAGCGGATTGTCTGAGCCTGGGGATTCAAGACCAGCTCGGGCAACTTGGTGAGACCTTGTTTCTACAAAAATAAAAAATTAGCCGGGCATGCACGCCTGCAGTTCCAGCTACTTTGAAGGCCGAGGCGGAAGGATTGCTGGAGCCCAGCAGGTCAACGTTGAGGTGGCTGTGAGTGTGCCGCTGCTCTCCAGCCTGGGTGACAGAGTGAGACTCCAACTAAAAAAAAAAAAAATTACATTTTGTGCCTCAGCCACTTCTGTTTTGGTAGACAGCACATGAGCTCCTTTGTAATATTCCCTTTGCAGTTATTTATTTATTTTTTTGAATTGGAGTCTCACTCTGTTGCCCAGACAGGAGTGCAGTGGCCGCTCCCGGCCACCACAGCCTCGACCTGCTGAGCTTCAGCGATCCTTCTGCCTCAGCCTTCCAAGTAGCCGGAATTACAGGCATGCGCTACCACGCCTGGCTGATTTTTAAATTTATTGTAGAGATAAGGTCTCACTGCCTAGGCGGGTCTCGAACCCGCGGGCTCAGGCAATCCACTCACCTCAGCCTCCCAAAGGCACAGGTTTACAGGCTGAGCCACCGAGTCCGGCTACAATTTTTTTTTTGAGTTGGAGTCTTACTCTGTTGTTCAGGCTGAAGTACAGCAGCATGATCACAACTACCATAGCCTTGACCTGCTGGGCTCAGGCGATCCTTCTACCTCTGCCTTCCAAGTAGCTGGAACTACAAGCACGCGCCACCACACCTGACTAAGCTTTTGATTTATGGTAGAGACAAGGTCTAGCCAAGTTGCCCAGGCTGGCCTCGAACCCCTGGCCTCAGGCAATCCTCTTGCCTTGGCCTCCCAAAGTTCTGGGATTATAGGCGTGAACCACTGTGCACGGCCTACAAATTTCATATTATGCATACATACATACATACTACACATATTAGCTATTATTTCCTCCTGGTCATCACTGCCTTGTGCTCCCAAATTAAAAACTTGGAACTGGTTCATCCTTGAAGGAAAGATGAATTTCCCACCTGTATGACTTTGCTGGCATCTCCCTGTTACCTCTCTAGCAAACTCCCACTTGTATTTTTCAAGTTTAGCTGGAATTTCTCCTGTAACTCCTCTGTAGTTTACTCAGTCTCTTACATCTAAGACCAAATTGCTCCTTCTTGTGTTTCCACGGCACACTGAAACCACTTTATTCCATCACTTAAACTGTACTCTATTTGACTTTTTTTACATTTAAATTTTAATTAATTAATTATTTATTTATTTTGTTGAGTTGGAGTCTCACTCGGTCGCCCAGACTGGAGTGCAGTGGCCGCTCCTGGTCACCGCAGCCTTGACCTGCTGGGCT